AAGGATCACCTCACTAGCGCAGCCAGCCTTCCATCTTTGCCCTTTCAATTGGTGCTCACTCCCACCTGGAAATCTTTCACAACAACAACAGAGAGCTGGCAAAGGCACAGCAGGGCCAACCCCCCCTCTAACACACACTGTTATCAGGGTGACTGCCCTAAAACCACCTCGTCCAGAAGAGGGACCTAGAGGCTGCAGCTGAGATTTCTTCCTGTACCCAGACTGTCACCTCAGCTCCCACCCGAAGGGACAGAGCCTTGGGTGTTTTGTCCCATTTTAGGGGGTGCAGGAGACACAAACAAGGGCATGAGGTGAATGTATTTGTTTTTTGTCCAGCTGTGGACACAGATGTGTCCACACAGCTGACAGCAGAGCAGGAAGAAGGCCAGTTTTTAGTGGAACTATGCATCAAAAAATAAGCCTTCCCTTCCTCTCATTCTGGTCGCCTTCCAACAGAAATACAACTCCTACAACTAGCAGGAAACTCTGGAATGTTATCGAAGCTGAGGCATCCAGTTAAAGCCCTGTTATCCAGAGAGTCCCTAACATCTAGCCAGAGATTTAACAGCAGCTTCTAGAGATTTGGCAAAACCTCACACACTGCAGAGGCACAGGCAGACTTCTTCAAGCAAGGTCTGCTGCTTTCTCATCCTCTTTTGCACTCTCCAGATATTTTTAGGAAGTGAGGCAGGCAGTGGGGGACACCAACAAATCCATCAGGAGGGGGGTGAAGGCTCCAGCTCGTTAGATTTGATGAATGAGGTTGCTGAGTCACATTTATATCAATCCACATTAACTCAAAAGGCCCAGCTGATTAAAAGGTCCATCATATACATGACAGACATGATTCTAACTTCAGAGAAAAGCCAGATTTTGGGTGGTTTGCATCTAAAATATAATGATGGGGGGAAGGCTACTCATTGGCTTTCCTTTTAAAGAAGTGGTTTGTCTTTCCCTAAGCTTATCCTAAAAAAAGGATTTTTTCTTTCCAAAAAGTTCCTTGAGGCTTGACCACAAGTTTTTGATGTGAATTTGCTGGTTCCATGTATTTAAGGCAATTAACAGTTGTTTTACAAGGGCCAGCTGTTAGCAATTCTAATGCTTATTTCTGCTTATTGGGGGCAACTGGAGAGGCACAAAAGAGAAAGGAAAAGCAAGATTAGTAGTATAACCACTATTAGCCTGGAATTACATTTTCCAGCTGCTTTTATGGCTTGGAAAAATCTTTTACCAACTCTTAACCCCAATATGAGTATATTTTACAATAGAAAATTGAAGAAAAATAATATGTATTTTAGATATAATAGATATAAGATTAGATATAATAAATTTAATAAATATAATAATTTATGCAACACAGGACCAAAGATTTACCTTGATTTTGTCCATGTAAGAGATGATGCTCCCTGGGTCCTCTTTGCCTGCTCCTTTGGTTTGCTCTTACTGCATCAGGAGAATTTCTGGGATTTGTTTCCTCTGGGGCCCTGCCGAAGCTGAAATTGGTAAGCTACACAAAGCTGTCAGAGATGCATTTTTGTGTCCAGGCCCTCACTTCACTCCCAGGATTGCTCCCAGCACAGGGTACAATGTCTGCAAGGGACTGATATAAACAGTTTACAGATGCAACTCGCTCAACCTGGAGCCCCAAAAATGCTTACAAAGAAACAACTCAAGTGCCAAAACAACAGCTGGCATTTATGCTCTTTGAATTAAGTGAATAAATGACAAGCCAGCCTCTGTTTTGAAATCATGCCCCTTGCTGACATGCTGGAGAAGTACCTAACAGGGTATTTGAGGTGTGAACCCTGGAAGAGGAGGCACAAGGGATCTCTCACCGAGGGCTTGGCTTGCCCCAGGTCAGACCAGCAGCAGTGCAGACTCTTATTACTTATCTTCCTGAGGCACAGGGCTAGGTGGGCATGGTTGGGCTGATCCAAGCCATGAGGGTTTGAGCTCACCTAACAAGGAGAGGCCAGAGCACTGCCCTGCCCTGCTGCCCTGGCTTTTAGTCCTTCCTGTGACAGGAGCACTCACCAACACCTGGCTGCTCTGTGCTGAACCAGCTGGAAAGGCTGGCCCCAGATTTGATGTCCCAAGCATCTCCCCCAGCTGCTTCCCTCTAAAGCCAGCTCCTCTTGCAAGATCCATATCTGGGGGTATTTAGGGTCAGTAAATCTGTTAGTTTGTTTTAACAGCAGGGTGGATACTTCCCTTAGAGATTATATTTCAATCCTTTATCTTATTAAGGGAAGATGTGTTTTGTCCATTAATCCAATTAGTTTGCTGGATTAATAAGACTGGGCTTGCTTTGTTTCAGGAAGCATAAAAATAGCAGTCAAGCATAATTAAAGCTAAACTTGTGAGTAACTCTGGTAACGAGAGCACTATTTCCCTGGGTATTCTGTTTATTTTTACAAGCCATGCTCTCAGATTACATGACGTGAATTCTCGATTAGAACAGCTCAATTCATGACCAAAAAGCAACAGGCTGCCCTGAAAACATTTACTTTTTGTATGTTTATAAAATTCTCTTTGTGCTAAATATAGTCAGGTAGGCTCCAACCTAGAATCGTGTTTTCAATACTCGAGAGGAATCTGTTGGATTGCAAAGGAATGAAAGTGATTTGTCATTATTGTGACGTGTCCTGGCACAGGGTGCTCTCTGATCAGAGATGTTAAATCCAGCTGTGGGTATTTGGGTGCTCGAGCACTGAACAGCTCCAGCCTTTGGATATATCCAGCTGTCGGAATCTGAAATGCAAGGAACTCTCAAAACTTTGAGCCTGTAAACCAAGGCTTAAAATGAAACACAGGATTTGATTTGAGACCTTGGAAAAAACTTCCAAACTTAAGTGCTAAAAGCAAAAATGTAGATTTTTAGTTTAAACCAAAAAACGTTAAGCTAAGTAAAAAAAAGTTTGGAGTTGTAAAGTTTAAGGTACAAAAAACACCTTACAAAAATAAACAAAAGAATTAAAATACAATATTATAAGTTTATCATTAATATAATTAACTAAAACATAACATAATTAACTTTAAAAGCTTACACTGAAACATAAATGCATTAAAAATATTTAAAGGTTAAGTTAAAAAACCATAAATATCCTTATTAACAATATTTTAGCAATATTTTATCCTTACTAATGATATTTTATCCTTAAAAAGTCTTATAACTAAAAATCTTGTAACTTTCTAAACCATACCATAACAACATAAACCGAACTCACCCTTCCTACCTATATAAAATTTTTTTTAAATAAACTACATAATCAAAAATAACTCCAAAAGTCCCATCTCAAATTCCTTCCAAAATCAAAATTTGGAAATAAATGATCACAAATGATGCCCCGTGTGATTTTTGGCATCTTTTCCTATTCGAGGACGTGTGGTCCTTTAAGCAACCCTTCCGTGCTGGGGATACAAAACCCAGAGAAGCTTGGGGTGGGGGGAAAAGGAGGAGAAAAGAGAAAGTAAGGAACAGGAACACGCTGCAGCCTGTACAGAACTACAATTCCCAGCGCTCCCGGTGCGGGAAGAGCGGCTGGAGCGCAGCGGAGGGGCCGGCCGGGCTCTGCCGCTGACCGGGGCCGGCGCTGCTTCCGCACACGGCGCAGTGAGTGGGGAACGCGCGGGGAAGGGCGGCCCGACCCCGCTCCTGCCTCCTGGGGTTCTCCAAAGCTCGGGGATCTCTGGAGGTGCAGGCAGCGCTGTCTGGGAGTTTTCATGCTCCCAGCCAAAGCCTGGCGCGGTGGTTGCTGGAGAGGAAGGGGTTAAGCGCCTGTCGCGCTCGGGTCGGGGCAAAAAGCTCTTCCTTCCCTTTGTCCCAGCCGGGGACAGCGCTGCCGCTCGTTCCGGAGCAAAGGCGGCGCTCCGGTTCAGCGCCGGGACGTTCGCACGGCGGTTGCTGCGAGACCCGGGGGTGGTGAGCGACACACACACACAGGGCTGTCCCCCCACCCAACCCTCTGTGACACGGCCTGTGTGGCAGCCACCGTCCTCACAGGTGTCAGCACCAGCGTGCCCAGCTCCCACTGCTCCCCGTGGCTTCCCGAAGGGATTGTCCCAGTCCGGGCGATCTGGGGCGGAGATGTCCAGAGCCAGGAGGCAAAGTCAGCACGTGTAAATAGGAGCCTGTGCTGAGGCACCTCTCAGGCTGCCATCACTGACCTGTGCTGAAGGAAGAGCTCTCAGACTCTTCCTGGCACTGAGTGTCTGTAACAAAGTAAAGGTGACTTGCTCCATAAAGGGGTTTGTGTTCTATGGCTGCAGAGTGCGATGTTCTCAGTGACCACCAGGGACTGTGCACCACAGTTCGCTTCTGTCTCGGGTCTCTGGCTATTTTTGACATCCTGAAGCCGAGGTCAGGCTTTCAGCCTGGGCTGAAAACGTGCTGTGATTCTTTGGCACAAAAAGCGTTCGTAGCTGGAGATGATCCCGCTCAGCTGCAACTGCTGTCCCCTGTCTAGCTCAGGGAATACTCTTGCACAGCTGATATTTTGTCTTTCTCTCCTGGCATCAGTGCCTTTCCCACAGATCCACTGTGTGCTGCAATAGGATGTGTGGTTGGATCGAGGCCATTACAACTGTGTAGGAAACCAGCAAAAGAGCAGCCACCTTCTCTGCCCTTTTCCCCAGGGACACAGGAATTGGGAGAGAAAGGTCTAATCTAGTCTTATAAGCAAGTTCTGGAAGAGCTGTGTACACTCAGAGATGGAAAGAAACTGAGGTATCTTGAAGTGGAGTTTGAAGTGTGACTGAAGTGATCATTTTAGAAAGCAGATTCTGCAGATGCTGTGAGAGGGAGATTTACCTGGTTATTGCACCTCTTAAATCAAACTTAACCTTGCAGGGCTGCTGCATTACATTTTATGCTCTTTTTTTAGGCAGAGACACCAGCTGTAGGTGTTGGTTATGGCTGCAGTGTATCAAGCACTGCACAGGAGGGTTTCCTCCCTTGCCTGCAGGTTGCACTCCACCTATGTGAGAAAAATGAGGTAAGTTCTCATCTGATTCCTGAGTACTGGAGGCCAGAGCTTGGCACAAGCAGCCCTACCTCATCCTGACCTGGGGGTTAATCCTTTACCAGTTCAGCCATCACACACAAATAAATGCTTTGTGAGCTCTGTGAAGGGTAATAGCCAAGCCTCTGGGCTCCCTTCACCACTGGTAGGAACTGCTTCTCTCTGGCTGAAGCTCTGTTAATGATTGCCTGTCCTGCCTAGAGGGCTCCTACAATACCAGGAAGACTTGAAGTGATGCTGCTAACCTCTTTTTAAATACTGCTCCAAACAGCCTGCAAGGAGAATATGCTGACACCCTTTTCCCAATGATTTTTTTTTCCTAACTCAGCTCCAGCCAGCTGTGCCCCAAGACTTGGTTTTTACCCCTCACATCAGTGTGACAGGTACAACATAACACATGTAGTCTGATGGGAACCAGATTCAACAGCAGAAGTGCTCAGCAAAACAGCATTTGGAGCCATCCAAATTCACAGAATATTCCAAGCTGGGAGGGATTGGGTGAGTAAAGGGAAGATCAAGGTTTCCTGCAGCCTTTACAGCAGACCTTTTGGATTGAGAGACTGGGTTACTGATCTTTTTGCATGTCCAGACTTGAGGGTACTCATGTGGTAGGTAAGAACTGCAGTATTTTCTGCCACACAAACTTCACTAGAGGCTGCAGTCCACCAAAGAGTAACTCAGCTGTCAAAACTCTCCAAGCACGTGGAGTACCTTAAATCTGATCTGTCCATTCAGCCCCCCTGCTCTGTGCAAAATAAAGGCCTCCAAATAAGCAAGAATCTCAACATGATCTTCAATTCACCTTCCCAATCATTTTCTCACTGCAGATACTTAAATCAGTTAAAGGAAGATGACAGCCTTTGTAGACAAGCTCAGACCTCAGGAACTTTCTACCTCTTTCACAATCTCTCCCCCTTCCTGCAGAAAGTTGGGAAGAAATATTTGGTACCACAGCTCAGTGCAGCAGGTAAGAAAGAAATCAGTGCATCCAGAAAGAAACAGCTGGTGGATCACACAGCTGAAATGAAACAGAGACACACACATGGTATCAACCTGATCTGTTCTGAGCTGATCAGGTTTAAACATTTGGAACTGTGCCTTTTGAAGAGAAAGGGCTGGCAGGAAAACAAACAAGGCCTTACTGACAAACGTCTTTTGGGTGTAATGTAGGAAAAGTTTTCTTTGAGAGAAAGCTATTGGCTGGTGCAGGACAAAAGCAATGGACAGCTGCTTCCCAGGCATTACAACATTGGGACCTTTAGCCTGACATGATCTAAACTTCCTACAGCTTAGGAGCAAAGCCAGATTTTAGGTTTCTACCTGTGTGGGATCACTGGTCTGGTCCCCTTTTCCACGTGGGCATTCTGCTTTGAGCCAAGATTGCCTGTGCCTTGAAGATCCAGAGAGCAAATCCAGAGATGCTTTTGCTTTCATCACAGCTTTCTCTTGCCCTTTCCCTGCTGTTCAGAGATGAGACAGATTCTGGGGAAGCTGCAGGAGGCCGAGCAGTGGATGGAGAAGTCGGTGCTGATTGGATGTTCGGACGAGCACAGGCCGCACTTCGCACTGGATTTAGGTTGGGATGGCTCCTCTTCCTCTTTTTGTTTGATGCACTGCGATCAAACAAATCCCTAATCCTTGGGAGGACCTGTCCTGCCAAGGAGGGCTGGGTTGGGTCTCTGTAGGGGCTCTTGTGAGCGTGGCAGGTCATGGGCTGCAACTGCTGCTCCTATGCCTGTGTGTGTTAGGAAAGGTGGCTGGGGGAGGCACTCACATTTGGGAATGCTTCCCCTGATGTAGTTCACTTCCATGGGAACTCCCAGAAACTGTATATTGGAACAGCAAAGGGCATAAAATTGGAATAATAGCAATAATAGCTGAAATTTATGAGATCAAATTTTCATTTTTTCTTTTTCTTTCCCTCGAACAGGAGCCTTGGATAAATCAGTCATTGAGGCAGAACTGCAGGGATCATTTACTAACCTACGGAAGGCTCTCTTTGTCGTGGACAGGAAGGATTCTCCTTTGCTGGCTTCAGTATTGGACTGGGCTTTTTACTTTAGGGAGCTTTAGTCTCTAACATCAACCCTTGTCCTCATCTCCCACATTGTTTTATGGTCTAATATTGTAGAAGTACCTACTGTACACTTTCAGGGACTTAGATACAGACACACTATAAATTACAACAGTTTTCCCAAATTTGTAGTCCCAAAAGGAAGATACAAGGGAAACAGAAAAGTGACTTTAAAATGACTGCAGTAATTTATGCCATTTAGCTGAAATGTGCTAAATCACAGCAATCCCAGTTTGTCCTCAGCTCAACAACTATCAGGCAAACTGGGAATCACAAACAAACTTACATGTCTTCTCTGAGAGCTGCTCTTTTAAACCCTCTCCCTTATAAGCGGGTGCCCTGTGTTTGGAAGGCCTAAGAAAAGGCCTGTGTGTGAAAATCAGCTGTCCTGATCCATAAGAAGAAATAGCTCGTGTTTCCTTTCCTGCTCTATAATGTTTGTGATGCCTGGGCTATTTTTCAAGAAGATATTCAGGCCTGGAGACTCTTTAAAATAGTCCAGCTCCCAACACAACTCCCATTATGTCCCAATAAACAACAGCTCTTGTCCACCTCCCCCAAACATACTCAAATTTAGAAGCAGCAAACATGGATTGCAGAATCTGCCACTTTCAAAGGACTGCCCATACTTCATTCACCTTTCTGAGGCTTCCAAAGATAATCAGAGTTTATCCCCATGACTGCACACCAAGCATTATTCACGGAGACTGCTCTGAATTATTTCTTCCCCCTAGGTATATATATATGTATATATATATAAGTGAGTTTGTGCTCCTCTGTGTTGGCAGGCCCAGTCCCTCCTGCGGTGGCACGATTCCCACCAGTACTGCAGCAGAACTGGGCAGCCCACTGAGAAGAACCCAGCTGGCAGCAAACGTGTCTGCCATGCCAGTGGAGTCACTTACTACCCTCAGGTGAGCCGTGGCAGCACAGGGCAGGGACACAGGGACAGGAGGGCAGAGCTGCTGGCTCACCCCTGGGGGGAGGAGGAAGAGGGATCTGTGCCTAGCTGGGTACTCTGTCTTTAGTGGTAAGCCAGCGACCCTCAATCAGCCAGGAAAAGCAAAAATTTGCACTTACTTTTTTTGTTTGAAGCCCTTGTTTTGCTTTGGGTGCACGTGGCAGGTGTCTCCAGTGGTCATCACCCTGGTGTCTGATGGGAGCCGCTGCCTCCTGGCCCGACAGCCCTCGTTTCCCCCGGGGATGTTCACAGCTCTGTCAGGCTTCTGTGACATGGGTGAGTGCTTCTGATCCAGCACAGTGGCCCTGGGCATGTGGGGTGTGGGGACATCTGCTGGGACAAATCACACGGGACTCCATGTTCTTCATGGAGGAAAAAGCCCATTCTTTAGTCACATAACTCATTTTTATACAGTTTTACAGACCTCATGTGTGACTCTAATTGGTCAGTAGCTTTCTTGCCAACTACTTTATTGGTAACTAAAAAGTTGTTACCCTCACTCAAACCACCGGTGTGTATGTGCAGGAAAAGTTGTTTGTGAGAGATAGAAAAATGAAAACTATCTAACAGTGTAAAAACAGTCTATACAAGTGCAAGTTGTCTTTCACCCAGTGATATTGTTATGCTAACGAACTGCTCACACCAGGATTGCTTTCACGTGGGAACTTGCAAAATGCTGGCTTTGACAAGGCCAGCCAGTGACCCCAGGAGAGCAGGCTGGATTCCATGAAGCCTTTCTTTATGATTTTTCTACCTTACTGCAAGAGACATCAGCCATAATCCCTGTTCACAGAGGAGGATGGACACACAGGTGATCTGTGTCCCCATCCCCAGATGCGTTCAAGGCCAAGCTTGAGCAGCCTGGTCTAGCAGAAGTGTCCATGCTGATAGTAGGGGGTTGGAACTAAATGATCCTTAAAGCCCCCCCCTTTGGACCCAAACCAGTGTGTGATTCTGTAACAGCTGGGAAACAAAACCCCATTATATCTAAATAGATCAGTGTTTGCATGCAGACAGTACCTGGAAGGAATGGGAATTAGGTGTCTAGCAGTTCTTCTAGTCCCTGATAGCAAACATAAGCTTTAAATTTGCTGGGTTATAACCCCTGATCCTTTTAAAATCCATTTTGCTTACAAGAAAAACTACAGACCTCTCATTACAGGAGGGAAAATGGCTTAAAATTGAATTGTTCTGTCCACCATCTGTATGTAGATGGGGCCAAAAATGTCTCTGGTGCCTGTGTTTATCAGAGGTTGATGAATTTAATGGAGCATCCCGTCAGCAAGTGTTTCCAGGACAGCACAGCTGCAGCTCCTGCGGGTGGGAATGAGCGTGTCCTGCGTTTCCCTCACCACGGTTCGCTGCCCTGAGGCCGGGCCGTCCTTGCCTAACTGCGGTTGCTTCTAGGTGAGAACGTGGAGGAGGCAGTGCGGCGAGAAGTGGCCGAAGAGGTGGGGCTGGAGGTGCAGTCGCTCCGCTACTCGGCGTCCCAGCACTGGCCCTTCCCCAGCAGCTCCTTAATGATTGCCTGCCACGCCCTGGTGGGAGCGCAGCGGGCGGAGGTGAGCGCCTCGGGCTCCCCGAGCTATTCCTCTGCCTGCCTCAGGCAGCAAAGCCTCCTTCAGCCCACAGAATTTAGTTAGGAGAGCACCAAACCCTCCGTAAATGCAACTTTCCATTGGCTTTTTCTGCAAGTGCAGAAGAAACTTTGGAACAATCCCATCATCTCCTGTTGCAAGGTGCCAGATTTCACTCAGGTCACTGTGTACCCAAGCCCAGAGCCCAACAGCCCTGGATTTTTCCCTCTGAACTTTGCAGAGGAGGTTCCCTCACATATTTGCCAGAGAACACTCAGATTCCACCACGTTAATTACTGTGCTCAGCCACTTTGCTTTGCCACAACAGAGCAGGGTTGGTTTGTGGCTTCCCTAAGGAAGCCAGCACAACAAAGTACTGGTGGATAGAAATATCCTTCCCTGGGCTGGCATCAGTGCCTAATTCAGGCATGAATGTAGCACTCTGGGCATTACAGAATGGGATCTCTGTGGAGGCAAGGTACCACTGCCCACATTCAAAGCTGATTTAAGGAACTGGTGTCCTCTGAATTCTTTCCAGATCAGTCTGGACACCCTGGAGCTGGAGGAAGCCCGTTGGTTTGGCCTGGAGGAAATTGTGGAGGGTCTCAAGAGGGAGCCCAGCTCTTCCAAGCAAGATGATGGCAGTTTTTTACCCTGGTTCCCTCCCAAACAGGCCATTGCTCACCAGCTGATCCGTGAGTGGCTTCAGCAGCAAAGTGCCCAGACAGCTTAGGCAGGGCTTCATCCACTCTGTGATTCCACCAGAACTGTCAAAGCTCCACAGGAAAGATTCCAAAGCTCCTGGAGGCAAGGGCTCTGTCACAGCGAGGGCAGCACTCAGACACACTGACCTACAAAGGTCTCTGAACTGGTCTGACAGGCCCATGTACAGTGGATCACCTCTGAGATCCCATGGTTTGAAGTAAATGTACAATAAAATTCTTAATTCCAAAGCATCCAAGTTGTTGTGACCAGCTGTCACTGGCCCCAAGGCACCAATGCCCCATTTTCATCCACTTTTTCTGTCTTGGGTGGACATTGAATGCACCCTTTTTCTCAGAACAAAAATAAAGGGAGAGTGGCACTTCCCAGTGTCTCTGTTTATATGGATCTGGGAGAGCTGTCAGAAACCAGATGGAAAGCCACTGCCTGTTTGCTCTCCTTCTCTCGCTTCCCATTCAATCTTCTGTTTTCATATAAAATACCCTTTTTTTTTTTTTTTGTAAATGTTAAATGGGCTTCTATATTTTCCTCACTGGTAAGACAGTTTCTTCTGTCCCAAGAAAGAGAGAACAGAGCTATCTGGTGGTGGAGAGGGGAAGAGCAAGCTGCACATAAGCATTTTAGAAGACCACAGCTAATGCAAAGGTGACAGGAACTGCTACAACAAGAACTGCACTTAGAACAGAGAAAAATCTTGAAAGAATCAGGGCCTCTTACCCTGAGGCCAAAGTCTGAGCCTTGCCTGGAGAGCTGGTCGGATTTCACTGATGAAATGGGGCCACCTCTCTGGAGGGAGAACAACAAGGGAACCACCTGGACAAGGAAAATGAAAGAGACGAGACACTTTGGTGAAAGGATGTTTGATCTGCTGCTGACTCGGGCTGACAGTCCCTTCTGCCTGCTTGGTCAGAGCTCAGATGCCAAGACTGCAAAGCCAGGTGCCTGAAGGGGACAGGGATGTGTCCCTGACTGCCACCACTGCGATTCACTGCAGGTGAGCAGTGGTAAAAATCTGCAGTCCTGACACCTGAGCAACAAGTAAAAAAACAAGTCTTTCACACCTTTGAGACACACTGTGTTTGCTTAGGTTACTTTTACTTCAGGAGGTTGGGGGGGGATTCTTTCAGGCCATGGTGGTATCTACAAACACCCTTCCTGGTATTTTAGCTACCAGTGAGAGAAAAAGTCTTTTCAATCTACTCAAATAGGGGATTCTTTGGTAGAGCTAGAACACCTACAAGATAATAATCACATCACATCTTTGGAAAAGCATTACATTTTAAACTGTTTTATAAAATCCTCAGACCCTTTTGACTTAGTTATGAAACTACATTGGTGGCCTCCATTCATGGTGTTAAGCTAGCAGGAGTGATGATAGGCAGTACCCAGCCCTGAGCAGGACAGAAAAATGAGGTGAGGGACATTGTCCTCACTTGCATTTGCCTCAGAAATCTGTCTGAAGCCTGAAGAACATTCACTGTAGTCAAGACAGGACATGCTCCATAAAGGCAAGTGACGTAGAAAAAGGAACAGGCAATCCCTGACAAGAGGCTTCCTCACCAAAACACAGCAGGGCTTTCCCATGGAAAAGCTACCAGGCAGGCAGAAGGGCACAGAGCAACAACATATTTCTCTCAAGAATGCACCCCTTAACTGAATCCTCTTTGGCAACACTTGGCTTGTATAAATCACTGAGACTCCTCTGCTTTTAGGGATTTACAGCAAAAGCCAGCACTGAAAAGCTGCCAGGTGGGGCATTACAGCCCAACTGCTCACAGGTATTGCCAGTCAGCAGGATATGGAATGATAGCACTCATCTGATCAATCAGATGTAACTTTTTGACTAGCAGGTTGAGAGCAGCATTCCACCTACCTCCCAAAAACAGCAGGGCATAAAACTCATGTTGATCTCTAACAGGTGCCAGCAGAGGATTGAAGTAAGCAAACCTCATGACACAACTTGTTTGATCTCTGACTGCTCATGATGCCTTGAGAAGGCTGAGCTAGAACAGAGGTCAGACAGAGCTAAAGAATAAAGCAGGGATTTATTAACAGGATCTCCTCCATGGATCCACCTTGGGCAGCACAAGAGCCCAGCCAGGGCTGCACCCAAGGTGAACCAAAATGGGCACAAAATGGACACCCAGTCACGGGGTCTGTCACTTTTATAAGTTCTGCTCCATTTGCATCTTGGAGTTAATTGTGCAATTACAGCTCCAGGTTATGAAGTCCCATCCTGCTTGTTTTTATCTTTTCAATTCATCCTTGTTTATGCTCCTAGGCCCAAAATTTGGATCAATTGTCCTCGGTCCTCAGCTAGAGAAGGAATTGTTTTGTCTCCCTACTCTGTGAAGAAAGCTTACTAACACTTGATACGAAGCTCAGAACTACAGACCAAAGCAGTACAGAATCTGAAAAATATAAAAGCTAAAACTTAAAGGCATGACTCAGAAAAATCTTATCTGGGAACAGTGTGGGTAGAAAATTCACTCACCACATGCTCTCCCATCACCTGGACTGCTCTGCTGCTGTGTGGAAAGGCCACGCTTTGCTATCCATCATTGTGGATGGCACAATGTCTGACTTCAGTATTACACTTCTTACATGAAAAAATTGTTTTACTTTTAAACAAGCTCCAAGACACTGTGGACACACACTGAGCCTGATGTTTGGCCTGAGAGGACATAAGCAATCCAGGGAACACTCTGACAACCTGACCTTGTAAAAGTCATTTGTCAGCAAACCTTTTTGAGGGGACCACAAGCAGCTCACCTCTGGCAGCTGCAGCAGACAGGTTGTCAGAATAACCTGTAAATGCACAGGTACAATCCCAGTGTTCAGTCTCAGGCACGGCTTGAACAAACAGATCTGCCCCAGCCTTCAGCTCCCTAAATCAAAATCTTGCTCTCTTTTCATCCTAGCAGCGGATGGAAAGTTGATATAACATCCTTTCCCACTGCTCCCTGTACTCAGTTGGAGGTAGCATCCTTTAGGTTGTGCTCTTCAGTGGTTTTACCCATGGAAATACTGCACAGGGTGACAGAAGATTTACTAGCATGTTAAAAAGAAGATGAAAATGCAGGAAGGATGATATTTGGGATAGGGACAGAAGCAAATTCACACATCATATGACAGTTCAATATGGCTGCTGTGAGTATGCAGCATGGAGGACAGCTAGATGAAACTAGAATATATTCCAAAACTATTTGGCCTTATAACTGCAGGTAATGTTAACAACCCTCACCAATTAAAAAAAAAGAGGAAATCTGCTCAGAACTAATTTGGATCACCATCCCTGCAGCCACTGGGTATCACGACTCCTTTTCCCCACCAAACTACAAAGGCTTTACTGTAAATCTCTCATTTTCTGCTTCCTCCCTGTAACAGTGCTCAAGTGACCTGTGTGATCTCTCTGAATGAACTGAGCTTTCCCTTCACAGCAGCTCTGCTCTTCACTTCCCAGCCTTGTGCCCTTGGCAATTTCCATCTGGCAGCGTTGGCCTGCTGAAGGAGAGGCTCTGTTCCAAACATGCCCACTTTGCAGCAGTGCCCCACAATGGGATGTTCTCCTGCCTGGACTAATCCCTTTGCTTCTCAGCTCCAGCCGGAGCCCACAAACCTGGCAGTTGTTCAGGAGCCTTTGCCATGGCACGGCCCCACCCAGCTGATTCCCAGCCTGGCAGCACAGTGGGCACACATTCCCAGCCCTGGCCGTTGTTTCCATCCCGCTGCAAGGAGCCCAGTTGTTCCCCAGTGTTCCTGCAGGAATCCAGGCCCAGGTGTCTGTGGGGTTTGCAGGGGCTCTCTTGGGGGTACCTGGGGGTGTCTGTGGGATTGGGGAGGGTGGTCTGAGCTCTGGGGTTGTCTCTGGGGCTCCTGCCCTTTTCCCCTCATATTTCCCATCCTTTTTCCTCTCATGTTTTGCGTCCTTTTCTCCTCACATCTCTAGAGCTTTCCTGCTTCTTAAACATGACCTTTACACCATTATGCCGTCTACATTTTTTCACTCTTCCCCCCTGTTTATGCTGCCCTTCCCCCCCATTTTTGCTGCCTTTTTTCTACCCCCCCCTTTTTTTTTGCTGCCTTTTTTTCTGAATTTTTGCCCCATTTTTCCCCTCCAATTTTTTCTTCTGCCTTTTTTGCCAACTGTTTTGGAGACCTTCTTTTCCCACCCTTTTCAACTTTTTTCCACTTTTTTTTTGCTGCCCTTTTGTGCCACCTTTTTTTTATAGCCCCTTTTTTTGCCCCTCAATATAAATCCCTCAAATGATGGAATCAGTGGAGGTTTCTACCAATTTAAACCCTAAAAATAATGGACAACATTTTAAACTCAGAGAGGAAGAAAATGGAAAATTGTTTGCTCTCATTTCAAACCTATAAAATCCCATCACAAAGGGTATTCACAGTTCTGTTTCAGCAAGAGAAGGGGGATTCCCCATCCATTGATAGCCCTGAAATAATGGCCAAGGCAGGGTTTCTTTCCATTGATACCCTTAGCATTGCAGGTGAATGGGGATTCCCTCAGTTGAAACACAGACAATAAGGGAAAATTAACCAGTTAAACAGCTCCAGAATACACTTGGACAGAAATCCATTGAAAGGGAACCACACACCACTTGTCTGTCCTAATTAATTCCTGCAGGCTTCCTTCTAAAAACACTCTCAGAATTAAAAGAGGAGATGCCTCGTGTGTTACCTCAAAGCAGAGGAAGAGGCAGCATGGAAATGCTTCTTCTGCCATGGCAAACTCTCCTGGGAGCACTCCCAGAGCCTTGCAGGGCTCCACTGGGAAGCTGCTGAACAAATGGAAAG